GCTGGAATATTGCTGAGTGCAGCGTAAGACAACAAACAAACAAACAAACAAAAACATTCCTTTCTTCTATTGAATGTTGTTACTGTACACACATATAGGGTTACCATGACAACATATAGATACTTATGTGATCATCAACATCATGACAACATATAGATACTTATGTGATCATCAACATCATGACAACATATAGATACCTATGTGATCATCAACATCATGACAACATATAGATACTTATGTGATCATCAACATCATGACAACATATAGATACTTATGTGATCATCAACATCATGACAACATATATATACCTATGTGATCATCAACATCATGACAACATATAGATACCTATGTGATCATCAACATCATGACAACATATAGATACTTATGTGATCATCAACATCATGACAACATATAGATACTTATGTGATCATCAACATCATGACAACATATAGATACTTATGTGATCATCAACATCATGACAACATATAGATACCTATGTGATCATCAACATCATGACAACATATAGATACCTATGTGATCATCAACACCATGACAACATATAGATACCTATGTGATCATCAACATCATGACAACATATAGATACCTATGTGATCATCAACACCATGACAACATATAGATACCTATGTGATCATCAACATCATGACAACATATAGATACCTATGTGATCATCAACACCATGACAACATATAGATACCTATGTGATCATCAACATCATGACAACATATAGATACCTATGTGATCATCAACATCATGACAACATATAGATACCTATGTGATCATCAACATCATGACAACATATAGATACCTATGTGATCATCAACATCATGACAACATATAGATACCTATGTGATCATCAACATCATGACAACATATAGATACCTATGTGATCATCAACATCATGACAACATATAGATACTTATGTGATCATCAACATCATGACAACATATAGATACCTATGTGATCATCAACATCATGACAACATATAGATACTTATGTGATCATCAACATCATGACAACATATAGATACCTATGTGATCATCAACATCATGACAACATGTAGATACTTATGTGATCATCAACATCATGACAACATATAGATATCTATGTGATCATCAACATCATATCAATGAGAAGGCACTTATACTATTATGTCAGTACCGCCCCGGTCCAAATATTGTGGATTCTAGAGAAGAGAAGGCCACTTTCAGAAGATTCAAGAGTGAGAATATTCTGCGGGCTGACATTCATCCTAAGGCTTGTTCGTTGTTGCTGCAGGCACTTATCTGACACATAGTATGGTAAACCTGAACCACGATGTATTGATTATTCTGTGAGATGACATTCATCCTAAGGCTTGTTCGTTGTTGCTGCAGGCACTTATCTGACACATAGTATGGTAAACCTGAACCACGATGTATTGATTATTCTGTGAGATGACATTCATCCTAAGGCTTGTTCGTTGTTGCTGCAGGCACTTATCTGACACATAGTATGGTAAACCTGAACCACCATGTATTGATTATTCATTGTTTTGTGTGGTCATTTACTGATCTCACAACTTAGTTCTGTGCATAGCGGTGTCTGGTTCACCTCTGCTCAATAGTTACGAGCCGATTCCCAAATTGAATCAATGCATGCTAGACCTGCACTGTGTACACTCATGATAAAAGAAAAGACCCCTTTTTATTTAATCTATTCATGAAATTATGTCTGCGTGTCAGGCGAACATAATTATGCATATGAAGCTATGAATGCATAATAAAGCGCCTCGCATATATATACTCCAGACACAGTATTCTATAAACCAGACAATTGGTGTTCGTTTTTTCACCCACAAGGTAAGTCTTCAAGGATCCTCATGATCTGTTTACTGACTGTAGATCTCATGTTTTAAACCCATTAAAAGACTCGGACCGACTGGCCAAACATTGGAAGGTACATAGCCAATGTAGCCGGAAAATACATGCTGTGAAGTAGAATTGGTTCTATGCAGTGTTAAAGATTGCCGCCTGCTGATTGTACAGAGTACAGTGTTATGTAAGGTGGAATATTTAGAGGTCATTATCAACCCCAAATCAATCTGAGATCTCATTAGCCAATGCCCAGAGGGTGGTATGGGGTATGATGTGAACACTGGCTATAACAATAACATTTGTATCATTTGCCATAATTTCAAATTGCAAATGGTATATATTTGCAAGTGAATATAATACATGTCTTGTTTGGAAGACACTGTCACGGGAAAGCTGGCCCAGCATACGTCACACTAAGGGACGTAACTCCAAAGTCTTACTCCCCAGTTTGATATCGATTGCCCTTTCAAGCAAACCCTGGAGGGGTGTAATAGGGCCCTGGAGTAGCCCCTGTGATCAATGTTGGCCCTATACCACATGCAAATCGGCTGATATCATTGATAGTGTGTGATAATTTTAAGTAATCGTATCGAGGGCCAGTCTTCATATATGCAATACTTCGTACTATTATTTGTGACTACATATGTTCTCAAACAAGGGACTATTCATTTTCATATACAATTTCTTTCGATATTTTCGTTGTGGTGGCATACTTGCCCAACTTCGATTTCATGTATGCAATATACTTCGAAATAATGTCGTTAATCACAGTTTCCGTGTGTATGTGAGTGAACCCAGTTTTCAATCATCCAAAGCTCACACATTCCACTGTTTTCACATCCACCAACACTGGCGTGATGCAAATAAGCAGTCATAGCATCGAATCTGGGATTCTTAACCCATGATTTGAGGATTCAGAGAGGCAACATGCTGTAGTCGAAATCGTACAGTGACTTTATTTGCCTCTTTTATTCAATAAAACTTGCGTCAAACCACAGATGAAGGTGTCTGAGTTTCTCCAACACAATCTTCTTCTCATCTTCACCATTCTGGCTATCGTCCTGGGATTGGTTGCTGGGATTGTGTGTCGACTGTTCGGTCCATCCTCAGACACCGTGCAGCTTGTACAGTTTCCAGGAGAGCTCTTCCTGTGTATGTTGAAGATGCTGGTGCTGCCACTGATCGTATCTAGCATCATTACAGGTAAATGTACAACATTATACTTAGTTAGTGTTTGAGTTGTGATCAACTGATTTCAACATTGCAACATGTCTGAGGATGCAGGAAGGCCTGGACAAATAAAGGGTGTAAGTGAGTACAGTTTTACGCCGCTTTCAGCAATATTCCAGCACTTTTTACAGCGGGGGACACCAGAAATGGGCTTCACACATTGTACCCATTTCGGGAATCAAACCCGGGTCTTCGGCGTGACGAGCGAACGCTTTAACCACAAGGCTATCCGACCGCCCATAAAAGGGGGTAGATAATGGTCATTAGGTTTGAAACGACTTTTGTTGCTTATTTTTACCTACTTATTTCTAACCGTGGTCTAAATTCAATGCCTTAGTGAAACATTCCAAACATCAGGTGGACTTCCCAAATTCGATACATCAGTGTAAATATTACTGTCTGATGGAATTCCTTATGGAATTGTACCCTGTATTCACCTGATTTTTAAGTGAACGTGGACCTGTGTTTTCAAGTGATTGTGATGTTTTCCAAACATAATATGGATCTAACAAGCAAAGTAGGGATGCTCACTTATATTTGTGATGTTATGTCAGTTCCTTGTCAGCAGGAACAACAAACGTTTCATGTAGGGCAGACAGACATTGGGTTGTTGATTACAATTACTAGTATGTCTCCTTCTTTCCAAATGGCACCATCGCACTCTTACATAATCCATTCTAGAGATATTTAACAGGTTCATCTTCCATAATGAGTTTTACAAAAACATGTGATCCAATTGCTAGAAGGCAGCTCACTTAAGTTTATTTGAATATTTTTAAGAAGTACAACCAATTATGAGTTCTGTCCATTACAACATATTTAGATAGGAAAAAATCAGAAAATGCAGTGTTTTCTTTGTTGCAAAGTACCAGCTATCTTATTATTCTATCCATCGATGGTCATTTTTACATCCAGTTCTAAAGCTTCTCCAACGATGCTACATGGGTATACATAATATTAACCCTACGGAGCTGTGTCTCAGGAACATACAATAATCTGACGTTGATAAATACAGTTATTTTTACATCCGTCGATTCTCAGCTCAAAGTGGAATTGTGAGATTTAACATCCAATCTAATAAAACTAATGGGATCTGTTTGTTAAGGTCTGGGAAACATCACAGGATCGTGTGCAGGAAGAATATGTGCACTGTCGATGGTATACACTGCATGTACCTCTCTTGTTGCAACGCTGATTGGTTTAACATCGGTCTTGATCATCCAGCCTGGAAAATACTCGAAGTCATCAACAAATCGTTTGTCACAAAATGATGCCATGGCATCAGCAAAAGATGTTGTTTTCGATCTATTAAGGTGGGCATTTCAAAATATAACTATATAACAGAAATATATACATGTCAATCACATTATATCATTAATTTTAGGCATGTTTTAGTTGTAAGTCAGAAGTTGTGATGAAAGCCTCTTATCCTTTTGGTTTGTCAGTCTTTCTTAATTAACTGAATACAACCTTTCCCTCAGCACCTCCGTGTATCACTGGTATCACCAATATAAAATGACCGCCTCCGTGGTCTAGTGGTAGAGCGTCCGCCCGGAGAGCGGAAGGTCATACCAAAAGACGTTAAAAGATGGTACTTGTTGTTACCCTGTCTGGCGCTCGACATTAAGGGCCTACAACAAGGACTGGTCGGCTCGGAGTCAGTATACTGTGTCTGAGTGGGGTATTCATGTTAAACTGCGGAATGGTGTCTCAGTGGGCTAGCACTATAAATCGGCATCAGTCCGGACTAGTACAAGCAGCCACACACACACACGTGCATGCACGTCGCTATATAAGTGCAATAATCTTGGACGCGACGTTAAACCCAATTTCACCTCACCTCACCAATATAAAATAGTCAGTCGTATGTTTTAACCAGGAACATTGTACCAGACAACATAGTCGCTGCCACAATTGAACATGCCAGCACTGTGTTGGTTAAGGAAGAAAGAATGGAATCTGGTGGCAGCTCCAGTTACATGAAGGAGGATTCTTCGATGGAAGTCAACGGCACCAACAGTTCGATTGTCGCAAAGAAAACAGTAATGGTTGATGGCACGAACATCTTAGGTGCTGTTAATTATACAGTTTGTTACCAACGTTTCTTTACAGTAAATTGTACATAATTTGTCAATTTGTCAGCTTTCACGTGCCTCCAGTTTTGCAGGAATAACATTATCTATGGCGTTAATGGCAAAGGCAATCCGGACATGAGGTCAAAATGAATGTCACTGCCAAAATCTGACCATACGTCGGCTGGTCAAAACGTTCTGAGCCTTACAAACAAAACCAACAATTGTGAAAGTGTTTTTAATTTTTTTTTATCAACATAATGTCCCTGCTCTCCAATACACTTCTAATATCAATAGTGAAGCTTTTCAATTAAAGTCAGAAAGAAGGTTTCTGATGCCACCCGGCAATACAATTCACAGCAGTTAAGAGGTCACCGTTGTCGTCATAGTGGTGGTCTTTTAGTTTAGGAAACAGGTGGAAATCACTTGGTGCCAGGTCTGGCGAGTATGGAGGGTGAGGAAGCTCTAAAAACGTACATTGTCGCACAGAAGCCTTTGCACGTCGAGAGGTATTAGGAGGGGCATTGTCATGAGCAGATATCTTCATCATCTGTACATTGTGCATGAATAATAGCTTCAATGGATCCGTAGCTTAGGCCTGTGTCTTCCTAAAGTTCAGCAATGGTAATAAGTCTATCTAAAAGTATGATGAAAGTTGAGGGACGTCCAGACCTAGTGTCGTCATCATCATATGCTTGTTCTCTCTTAAACATAGCTTCCCAATGCTAAACAGTGGACTAGCTAGATTACTTATCCTCATACACTTGTGATATGCGTTCATGAATTTCTTGGGGAGTACCTTGATGACTGATTGGCATTCCTATTTTTTCATTTCTATGTCCATTTGGACCCCAATCACATCCAACTGTCTGTCACTATACACAAATAGCCTCAAAATACCAGATACACTTGCAATGATCTATGCAAACAATGTTCTACATTTACTTTGTTGTGGCCCATTGTTAAAAGTTAGTCAGGCTTTGAAGTTTTTGACCAGCCCTCGTATTTGACGAGACTTGATAAATAATGGCAATGATATCTGGTTTATGCTTTGAAGTTTTTGACGAGACCTGATAAATAAGGGCAATGATATCTGGGCCCAATAAATGTTCTGGTTTAGGATTACACTTTCACATTCCTGCTTTGAGGATCAGTTGTCATCAAACCTTCAATATGGAATATTTGGCAGGCATGGTTTCTTGGCTTAGGATGCTATTATTATGGCACCAAGTGCCCTCTGTGTATTGTGATGTCTGTCACGTCTTGACTCTTTCACGACAGGTGTACTTACGTACTGCATAGTGTTTGGAGTGATGCTGAGCCAGTTAGGTCACCGAGGATCAGCCGTGACACAATTCTTCACAGGCATCAACATTGTCACCCTCAAAATGATTAAACTTGTGATGTGGTAAGTACGACTTTTTAAAGTTGTTTGGGGGTTAATAATTGAATGCATTTGCTTCTGATTAATCAACACTTTTGTCAAAGTTTAAAACCTAATTACTCCAAAATAGAACCCTCGCCATTCATATAAAAATATTGTCATAACAAGAACACCTGCAGACTTGCAACTCTATGTTAGATGTTTCAAGCAATCCAAGCAATTATTCAAACGTTCTACATTGATACTATTTATGATCATGTCAATCAAAATCAATTATCCAGGTTCTCTCCACTTGGAATAATGTCACTCATCATGGGCCAGATGATGTTATCTGACATTATGGAGACTGGACAAACAATATCCATCTACATTGCCACTGAGTTGGCCGGACTGGCAGTCCACTCACTGGTGATCCTCCCAGCCTTGCACTTCGTCCTGACCAGACAAAATCCCTACACCGTATACATCAAGTCACTACCAGCCCTCCTGACAGCCTTTGCCACATGCTCCAGGTAAACATTTCCCAAGTTCCATCTCATCATCCCTGTTCAATACATTTCCCTCACGTTAATAAATGCAGCAAGAACATTTAATTCGTTAAAACATCAAACATATGTTTCTGCCCATTCTGTCCTACCAGGAAATAGGATGGTGAAGTGATATTTTTCCATGTAAAATCAGACTGAATCAAGAGGATACTTGTCTTTTCAGTAGGTTTATTAGATACCATTTTGACACACTCTTTTCCTGAATTTTCTGTTTTGAAAGATGCTGTGGATTTTCGGTCTTGAAAGTTCTCTCTTAGGTAACGTCAAACGCCAAATGTATGTTTGAGGGGATTTTCGACTGTTTTTATTTTTTAGGTGTTTCTCTAAAATGTGAATGGCGCTGACAGTATATTATGTTTCATGGAGAAGAGTTAAGAAATCCTGGACACATTGTTTTCTCAGCTTTGAAACAAAAATCACATTTCTTTCTAACACAAACCTGCATACAAGATCTGAAGTGTTTGAAAAGCAATGGGAATCAACACAGACACCTCGCGTGAAAGAGGCGGCCGATTCGAACCCTACTCACCAGAGTCGGAGTGGACGGGTCACACGGACATGGCGTACGGGTTGTTGCTATGTACGAGTACAACGTCACTACATATTAAATAATGGCTTTCAATAATTCAGTCCCCAGTGGTCGGGTGAAATAGACGCTTTGTAAACAAGAACCGATGCTTCTTGTAGGATTTACTTTTCTGCTCTACTTTTCAAACTTTATTGCTCATATATACGCTGTAAACAGAATGTATGTACTTTTCTACTGTGACAAACTCTTTTGTAAATAAGTACTGATACTTTTCAAAGCTTCATTGTTTATTTATGCACTGTAAACAATTTCATATAAAGTAATCGGTTGGTGCAAACCCCTGTGGACAAGAAATTATCTTTTTAGTATGATCTGCTCTATTTTTTGACCATTGGTAGTTTTATATACTCCGTTATCATCCGGCGCTCCCTCGTTACAATGGATACCGATTAATGAACAATGTATAATGGGCCGGTGGCCCCCTTCAGAAATAAAGTCATTCATTCAGTACAACGTTACTTCTTTCATGTGGGCATCTGTTACCTTCCACTGCAGAAGCTGTGAACTTTGTCTACATTGTCAAAATATATATATTGTGAACAATTTTCCCACTTTGGGACCCTGTATATGAATCGAAATCTGGAAAGAATCTGTAGTATTTCACCACAACCTGTGGTCATAATCAGCTTGGTAATGTAATACGAACAGATCTATACCAAAACCAATGTGTGACTTCACGGTTGTGTTTGTTCCCAGCGCTGCGACACTGCCGGTGACAATGCAGTGTGTAGAGGAGAGGCTGCACATAGACAGAAGGATCTCCCGAGTCATCCTCCCAGTGGGTGCGACTGTCAACATGGACGGCGCTGCTATATACGCTGTCATCGCCCCTGTGTTCATAGCTCAGTACAATGGAATCAATCTGTCTTTGGGGGATGTCATCACAATAAGGTAACGTCACGTTAACACGTGGATGGCGTGAATTGAAGCAATCATATCGTATGAAATCATAGCTCAGTACAATGGAATCAATCTGTCTTTGGGGGATGTCATCACAATAAGGTAACGTCACGTTAACACGTGGATGGCGTGAATTGAAGCAATCATATCGTATGAAATCATAGCTCAGTACAATGGAATCAATCTGTCTTTGGGGGATGTCATCACAATAAGGTAACGTCACGTTAACACGTGGATGGCGTGAATTGAAGCAATCATATCGTATGAAATCATAGCGCAGTACAATGGAATCAATCTGTCTTTGGGGGATGTCATCACAATAAGGTAACGTCACGTTAACACGTGGATGGCGTGAATTGAAGCAATCATATCGTATGAAATCATAGCGCAGTACAATGGAATCAATCTGTCTTTGGGGGATGTCATCACAATAAGGTAACGTCACGTTAACACGTGGATGGCGTGAATTGAAGCAATCATATCGTATGAAATCATAGCTCAGTACAATGGAATCAATCTGTCTTTGGGGGATGTCATCACAATAAGGTAACGTCACGTTAACACGTGGATGGCGTGAATTGAAGCAATCATATCGTATGAAATCATAGCGCAGTACAATGGAATCCCTCTGTCTTTGGGGGATGTCATCACAATAAGGTAACGTCACGTTAACACGTGGATGGCGTGAATTGAAGCAATCATATCGTATGAAATCATAGCTCAGTACAATGGAATCAATCTGTCTTTGGGGGATGTCATCACAATAAGGTAACGTCAGGTTAACACGTGGATGGCGTGAATTGAAGCAACCTCTTACTAATTTGTCACAACCCAAGAAGTTTCCGAACTGTCAATGTGGCAGTTTGGTATCGATTCCATATATGCACCAACAGAATATTGTTGCTTTGTATCGAACTTTATATAAAACATTGCTACATTTTTCGTTGGTATATTATGCAAGTCTATAATGTGAAAACCTTCTTATTGTTACTGATCAATGATGTATGGGCAGCTCTCGGTGAAAAGGTGGTAACGCATGATAGTGTGCAGGCCAGTTTAAGATATGTTTGTTTCACAAATGTTGAACAATTCTCAATTTCTACTCCACCATAGGACCCCCTCCGCCCAGAGAGCGAAACTGCGGCATGGTATCTCAGTGTGCTAGCACTATAAATCGGCAACAGTCCGGACTAGTACAAGCAGCCAAACACAAACACACACTCACATGCACGTCGCTATAAAAGTGCAATAATCTTGGACGCGACGTTAAACCCCATTTCACCTCACCTACTCCGCCATAATGTTTAGGCCACCATGGTCATGTTTAGGAAGACGTCAAACTAGGATTCTTCACTCAAAGTATCAAGTCCCTATGACATATGGATTGTGAGGAGATGTAACAAAACAATAGCATTAAAAACGGTTGGTATGTTAAGGTACAAAACAAATGTCTGAAGGATAACATATCGTAGTGTAATCCACGTACTTATTGCATATCACATTCCATGATAACACACGCAGTAATAGCGGAGTTGTGTGGAAAATACGTTATTCACAATATGCCCCGATAGTGTCGGAATTCAGAGGAGATATATAGAGAAACCTGAAAGTATAAGGTCTTATATATAATTGAGTGTATACAAGTATCATGTCTTATACAGAAAACCACTTACCTGCGTAATAAATGTCATTATCGTGCATGTAGAAAATAGTAATGAAGGGTTGGTTATGAGCACAGCAGGGATCATTCATACAAAGGTTCAACTCCATAGTGTCATTCTCGGAGTTTCGATCAGATAGGGGGGCACGGGCAAAAAGCTACTGGAAATGCCTACACAGTGCCCTCACCAGTCTAGCGGCACAGGAACATTCGACAGGTTTCTATAACATACTGCACGGGTGGCCAAGTCGTCTAAGGTGCTTTGCTGTATCTTTGCAGAGTTGCGTCCATTGGGCACGCAAAAACTCATTATTGTGGGTTCGAATACCGGTTCGCCACAATTATGTTTCTTGGTTTGTCAGCACCATACCCATGCTTGTGGGTTTCGCCGAAGTGGTAAACAACCGATACCTGCATCACTTCGGGCTTTCCTCCCACATTAAGCCGACACGCCGTGATATGACTGGAGTAAGGTTAAAAGCGGCGTTAAACCCAACTCACTCACTCACATAGATCAGATAAATGTTGACGATTAAACGGACAATCACCGCGACACAAGCTCGCTCAACTGTTGGTCGTATGAAATGAAAAGCTGACTATTCGTATGTTTAAAGTCCGTTTTTAAAACTTTAACATCCAATTGATAAAACAATATTTTTTTCCAGTTCAACAGCCTTCCTGAGCAGTATTGGAATTGCGAGTGTCCCTGGGGTTGGTTTTGCAATGCTCATGCTTGTGCTACAGACGGTCGGTCTCCCGGATCGAGGACTCGCCTTGTTGGTCACCATTGACTGGCTGTTGTAATTAGATTGTTTCAAATATTTTCGACTAAATTGTCTGTTCAAAGTATGTTTAACGATTATATTCAAAAGTAGAACACATACATCTTTTTTTCACCAGAACGAGTATTATCATGGAGTTTGACGGCAGAATGTCACAAATGTCTTCCCATCAGTCGATATTAACAAATACAACACTTCAAATCAAGCCTGTATTCATAAGTGTAACCTCTATAGTTGCCTTTGACAAAATACCAAGTTCCAAATATATTTAATATTTTTCAGGGATCGCTTTTCCACCACAGTGAATGTGGCCAGTGATTGCCTAGTGGTAGGAGTTGTCTCCCGTTACACCAATCTTCCCCCACGTGACCCATCACCGGCTCAACCGATGCTGGAGAATGACATGGTTTAAGAGAAACAAAGCATCTGCCTGCATATTGCGGAACTCGTCTTCTGAAGTTTGTGTTTTTACACAGTTGAATAAACATGACACTAAGCCACTAGGCTATCATATGATCAAATATCTTCATTTGACCTCAACTGAATGAATTTGTTCCTTTTGTCTCAGTCGCGATAAGATAATACTGATCAATAAAAAAACCTCTTTTGACTTTGAACTATATAAATAAATATATTTTTTTATATTCTGGGGATCGGTAGTTTAATTTATTGTTTACTTTAATTACTTTGTTTCTGTTGAGATTCAATAGAAGTTTATTGCATTGTATTTGGACAATACTTAGTTGTCATGAATGTAGTACTATTTAATGTTTTCGGTGGTGAGGAAGTTATTATATATAGATTCTCGAATTAGATGTAAACTCCCGGAATAGTATGGATGTAGGTCAAGCGTCATAGAAACCTCTGGAATATTCTGTGATGTTCAAGTGACACTGGACTGGCCTGGCACTGTATAGAAAGTGTTTGAAGAAGTTATAAGTTTAGCGGTCGCGTCCATGTCTCATTTCTTACATTTGATCTGACTTTACATCAAGACCAGCCTTTTTTGTGAAGATCACATTTCACACTGGATTCAAAGCCTAGTCCCATCTCGGTAGCTTGACCACTGTCGAGGTGAGGTGATTATTATTCTTGTCATTGGCATTGTCATTGCAAATTGTACTACCTCTCTCTTGTGGACTCTCGTTGTAAATTGTTGTGCAGTAATTTGTATTGATTTGTAAACTTAGCAAATTTTGTAATACAATCGTTGATTGCATACTATTTGTTGGATATTTGTTGGTGTCAAACTAAATTATTTTACGTATGGATATCTGGGTTAATATATTGTTTCAATTAGGATATTGACAAGTAACAATATATAGTTTGTTTAAAGTACAATAAAACACTGTGGAGAGAATAAACTATGATTAACAACTCCCACTCGTCCTTCATTCCTGATATTATATATCAACATTATGAAAAGACTCTTTAAAGGCAAGTAAAGTGACAACATGATTTGTTTTGCGAATATCAGCTTCCGAAATAAGCCTATCTTGGGTCGTGGCCTAAAGCTACTGGCGCAGCGTTGATAACTGTTTTCAATGGCACATGTGTCTAGTTTGTGAGTTTAGCCGTTATACATATACTGTTTCTACTACCTTAAAAAATCACAAGATTGCATACAAGGTTGAATGTGTGAAACGACCTTCGATCTTGACATTGTCAACAATTAAAATAGCAATTGAGGACTAGCGTTTTATTACTGTTTAGTAATAAACTATTAGCTGACCTCGGCCCTATTCCACACAATAAATTTCTCTCAGGGATTAATGTGACATAAGTTGGTGGATGCGGTAATCAAGTAGATGTGCAGGCAGAAAAATGGTATAGTGTATTGAATAGTCCCAGGAAGAATGTGGCAGACTGGGCATTGGCCTGATCATCATCATCGGTGAAATAGCCTTAACATTTCAATCCCAGTAAAGGAAATTATCGCAGTGGCGAGATTTTTCGTTTGGAGGACGATTTCGCATGTTGTGTTTTATCGTCTGTTTTACACTGCATCCAGCATTTGTGATTAAGTATGCCCTAAAGTATCAAAATCTGCAAAGTTGCTTTGTTGACTTTATTTGCCCTATAAGTATGTTAAAAAAATGTTAACGATTTAAAGAGAAATGTTTACCAACACATGTATTTAAATAATGATGGCTCTCTGAAATAAAAACAATCCGGCCTCGAAAATGTCGGACAAGTCCATTTTATGAGCATAGGTTTAAAGTTTAATGTCGATCTGTCCCTTTTCTCCCAATACCGATTACCATATCTCTTCTACTTTTGGATGCGATCGTTCGGCCATTGCATTAATCTTCGTTACCCAGCTTCATCCATGGGAAACAACTCACTAGACACTTCCCTCTTCACAATACCGTCGTCCCATTTACGACATCAGAATGTTGTGAGTGCATGTTCGAGTCTCCATAAATGAAGCCATCACAACATATTGTTTTATCGTGTAATAAACCTTGCTTCGTATTTCGTTGTTCTTTGCAATTTATTGCGTAGATTACTTAAAATGCAATTGTTAACTACTCCAGTGATTATTAACATGAGCATCGATCTACCCATATGGGCTAGAAGGACATGTGTCAACCAAGGTAGCAAGCATGACCACCCGATCCGGTTAAGAGAAGGAAACCTCGGTTGACTGTTAGTTGATAGGAAAGATTATGAAAAGTAACCTTCACATCGACGATGCTCTAAAATAAGATAAAGTATTGACAGATCAAGTTCGCCGATTACTTACGAAGAAACCAAGGAATAAACCTCGACCCCTCGCGTTAAACTTACCAGCAGCAAATCCAAGTTGGATGTCTTGTTCCGTTCCAGGAGAAAGTTGAAGCAATCTACACTCAAGACAAGGGAAGTGCGTTGAAACCTCAGGTGGATGCTAGGAAAGTTGGGTGTGTGGCCAGATGGCGTTGATACCTCTTATGGTGGATGCTAGGAAAGTTGGGTGTGTGGCCAGATGGCGTTGATACCTCAGGTGGATGCTAGGAAAGTTGGGTGTGTGGCCAGATGGCGTTGATACCTCAGGTGGATGCTAGGAAAGTTGGGTGTGTGGCCAGATGGCGTTGATACCTCAGGTGGATGCTAGGAAAGTTGGGTGTGTGGCCAGATGGCGTTGATACCTCAGGTGGATTCTAGGAAAGTTGGGTGTGTGGCCAGATGGCGTTGATACCTCAGGTGGATGCTAGGAAAGTTGGGTGTGTGGCCAGATGGCGTTGATACCTCAGGTGGATGCTAGCAAAGTTGGGTGTGTGGCCAGATGGCGTTGATACCTCTTATGGTGGATGCTAGGAAAGTTGGGTGTGTGGCCAGATGGCGTTGATACCTCAGGTGGATTCTAGGAAAGTTGGGTGTGTGGCCAGATGGCGTTGATACCTCAGGTGGATGCTAGCAAAGTTGGGTGTGTGGCCAGATGGCGTTGATACCTCTTATGGTGGATGCTAGGAAAGTTGGGTGTGTGGCCAGATGGCGTTGATACCTCAGGTGGATTCTAGGAAAGTTGGGTGTGTGGCCAGATGGCGTTGATACCTCTTATGGTGGATGCTAGGAAAGTTGGGTGTGTGGCCAGATGGCGTTGATACCTCAGGTGGATGCTAGGAAAGTTGGGTGTGTGGCCAGATGGCGTTGATACCTCAGGTGGATGCTAGCAAAGTTGGGTGTGTGGCCAGATGGCGTTGATACCTCTTATGGTGGATGCTAGGAAAGTTGGATGTGTGGCCAGATGGCGTTGATACCTCAGGTGGATTCTAGGAAAGTTGGGTGTGTGGCCAGATGGCGTTGATACCTCTTATGGTGGATGCTAGCAAAGTTGGGTGTGTGGCCAAGGTTAGGTTTCAGACACAAACTAGGAATGTCTACCCATACGCTAAATATCTTCTTAACTGCCAGTCGATTAAGCCATACAATAACAATAACGTGACATTTACTGAGCAATTTTTGTGTGAAATGTTAGACCTCTATTAAGACCATTTATTTGCCTCTGCAAATCGCGGTGTGTCTTTGGACTATTGATATGCTGGAACATCGTCGTGATGTGGCCAATACCTTAACATTCCCACAGTCTGTGCCTATGGACCAGGTACCAACCTCAAAACGTTGATGATCCGTCCCATTCAGGGCGTGACAGGTCAACGACAAGAGTACGAGATCTGTTGATCCAAACCAGGATCTACGGAATCGAGCTCAGAGGGCGAATCAAAGTACTGTAAAGTTTCATCAGGCTACTGGAGCACGAGTTTCGTCTTCCATATGCAGCTAATCGTTACACTCGACGGAGACGTGTTGTGCCGCCCATGAAAAGTTGTCGTATTTTCAACTGACGTCAATGGTGTACACATCGTCGGGAGTTGTTACTCGTGGTGGATTGGTTATGGTGTGGGGTGACTTCACTATGACTGACCGAACCCCACTCGATGTTGTGCAAGGAAGAGTCACCAATGTGTTCCAAATTCGTTCATTATTATCATACAACTATTCTAGAAACAAATACCTCTTACAATTTTGGAAACTTTTAGTTATTTCTCTCAAGGTATTTGAGTCATGTTAAAACGAACGTCAGTCTAAGACCAAGATGATGACTTTGACCCTTGACGTAACTGTCAAATTCATCAATGCCAGAATAATTTGCCTCGGTTTTCCGAAAAAGATTCCATCAGACGTAAAAGGCAAATTCGAGAAATAAGTAATATGGAAGTTCGCGAAGAGGATAAGCGTACCATGATCTACCGGTAGTACCCGACATAAGCACAATGTTCATATACGAGCTGAAATATTAAACCTTAAAGCATCCGTATTAATACGGAGTTCTTTAACAAAATATTATTTTAAATATTTCTTGCTTCCCCAGAAACATTGCACATTTCCATGTCAAAGGTTAACAGGCTGTTAGCACGTAAGGTACCCTAGTGGCCTTTCTCTTGAGTTAGTACAGCATCTGAGATCTTGAAAAGTAAGATATGTAATACACAAAACAATAACAAAATGATAAAGTTTATTCACAAATGGAAACCAATAAGAAACATAGTTTAGGATGTTGGTAATATCGCTCCAGATACCTGTCATGGACAACTGAATTTGTGCATTTAATTTGTGGTGCCATTACATATATCGGCAGGGTATTAATGCCTTCTCCTAGTACCAAAACATCATCTTCAGAAAATAAACTTAAAAGGGTCCTTGTCAAAATATGTTATCACAAAATATAACCCTTATTTACGCAATTGTGACCGCTTTAAGGGAATAAAACATTGTTGAGTATATATAGCGAATATACGAACCTATAGTTGTTAATACTAATTACAAGAGCAAAACATAATTTACTTGAAGATATATATTTTGGCTGATACACCCAACTTACATGTCAATGGCTCAATCGTTAAACCAAATGTTTTTATCGGTAAAAAATGTTATAAATATTTGCCTGTTCTGGTTGGTTTATCCAGTCAGTACACAACTACACTATGTCTCGATGTGTGTAAGTGAGTTATGTCAATCAGTATGTCATCCTTGCACATGTATTTCTGTAAACGTGCTCCTGAACAGAACTACAATATGTCGCAATGTGTGTAAGTGAGTTATGTCAATCAGTATGTCGTCCTTGCACACGTATTTCTGTAAACGTGCTCCTGAACAGAACTACAATATGTCGCAATGTGTGTAAGTGAGTTATGTCAATCAGTATGTCGTCCTTGCACACGTATGTCTGTAAACGTGCTCCTGAACAGAACTACACTATGTCGTAATGTGTGTAAGTGAGTTATGTCAATCAGTATGTCGTCCTTGCACACGTATGTCTGTAAACGTGCTCCTGAACAGAACTACACTATGTCTCGATGTGTGTAAGTGAGTTATGTCAATCAGTATGTCGTCCTTGCACAAGTATTTCTGTAAACGTGCTCCTGAACAGAACTACAATATGTCTCGATTTGTGTAAGTGAGTTATGTCAATCAGTATGTCATCCTTGCACACGTATTTCTGTAAACGTGCTCCTGAACAGAACTACAATATGTCTCGATTTGTGTAAGTGAGTTATGTCAATCAGTATGTCGTCCTTGCACACGTATTTCTGTAAACGTGCTCCTGAACAGAACTACAATATGTCTCGATGTGTGTAAGTGAGTTATGTCAATCAGTATGTCATCCTTGCACACGTATTTCTGTAAACGTGCTCCTGAACAGAACTACACTATGTCGCAATGTGTGTAAGTGAGTTATGTCAATCAGTATGTCATCCTTGCACACGTATTTCTGTAAACGTGCTCCTGAACAGAACTACACTATGTCGCAATGTGTGTAAGTGAGTTATGTCAATTAGTATGTCATCCTTGCATATTTGTTTCTGAAGCCTACTTTAACAGACTGTTCTCAGTTCCGCGGGATTTTACATGCGTTTCATTTACTACACATATGCAAACTTAGCTTCTTCATCCGGATAGCATGCAATTGATCAAAATATAATTACTCAGTTTCTTCAGAATAAATCTGACAACAGCTGCACGTATAATATATGTGGAGTAAAATACAAGTGAGTGAGTGAGTGAGTGAGTGAAAAAATATATAACGTCTGCTTAATATGTTTTGGTCAATATAATGATAGACTATACAGAACCAGCCTTAACAGCTGCATGTGGAATATATTGCAGTCTAGGTAAAAACGTTACAACCAAGATTATGTTTCTTGGTTTGTCAGCACCATACCCGTGCTCGTGGGTTTCACCGAAGTGGTAAACGTATGAGACCTGCATCACTTCGGGCTTTCCTCCCACATTAAGCTGACACGCCGTGATTTAACTGGAATACTGTTAAAGGCGGCGTTAAACTCACTAAAACGTTACAACAGATATGATGGTGTTTAAAACAGAAGCACCCCACAGTTACCCAAACTGTCTGGCTGAATATGTGACAGGGCTACACTCAATGAGAGAAACATGATCTTTCACTCGACACAAGGAATATCCTCTATATTTTATACCTTTTACGGGAAAGTATAATTATGTCATTACAAATGTCAAACCTTGAAACGTTATTTCTCCCTATCTAACACGTCGGAACGTTTCACCAACCCTTGAAATTGCGACTTATATGCAGAATTAAAACTACAGATGATTATATGTCCAAGTTGCCACCTCACGCGGTTTAGTCAATATCGTGTTGCAATCAGCCCTGATAATATTGCCAGATACTATCCTGGAAGCCCTACCTCCCTATGGAAAAACAAGATGTGGTAGTCTGAATGGGCTTCACACATTGTACCAATGTCGGGAATCGAACCCGGGTCTTCGGCTTGACGCCCGAACGCTTTAACCACTAGGCTACCCGACCGCCCCTTACAAGAAGGGATCTTTTAGTTATCGCCCGGAAGTGTAAACCTGAAAACTGGGCTCATCACCAAAGGTGTGTCGTAATACGTTGGACCATTTGAGTTTACTCTTTCAAAAGTCCAGAAACCTATGATTGTGGGTTCGAATCCCGGTTCGCCCCGATTATGTTTCTAGGTTTGGCAGCACCATACCCGTACTCGTGGGTTTCACCGAAGTGGTAAACGTCTAAGACCTGCATCACTTCGGGCTTTCCTCCCACATTAAGCTGACACGCTGTAATATAACTGGAATACTGTTAAAAGCGGCGTTAAACCCAACTCTCTCACTCTTTCAAAAGTTATCTAAATCTGAAGAATCTGAGGAACTATATACAATATATATTCTCAGTCGATTGCAACAAAGGATAGGAGAAACAAAAATGTTACCTTACAACTACAAAGATATATAACCCGCAAAGAGTATTACTGACTGTATGGCTGTTATAGTCAGCGCAGTCTGACCACGCGATCCATCAAGTCGCCTCTTACGACAGCCATCAGCTGCTGGGGACCTGCTCGCACCCGCCATTCGCAGTTGTGATGAAGTTCATAAGCTTAGGCATCAAATAGCTTATGAATTGATGCTACTCAAATGCAATAGTTATTGATGAATTGTAGGAGCATGTTTACAATAGGAAATAACCATAATACAAAAGTCTTGTTCGTTTGAGGAAAAAATATATTTGAGAATGAAAAAGCGAGTGAGCGAGTATTACGACACTTTTTGCACATTCCAGCTGTTGGCATTATCTTTTTACAATATGACCATATTTGGATTCAACACAAGGCAACCCAGACGCCTGAACGAGATTTGCAGTAATGGCGATAATCAACAGACTTTAAAGAGACTGACCAAACAACATTCCAGGAAGGTTGTCTTTCTAAGTAGAAGTGATTCTGAAACATGTCGCGAATGAAGCATGAACTTTGAAAAGTATAAAACATATTCGATGATCCCTTTCTAAAAATGACTTTTGAAGTTACATGGATTGAAATGTTCTGAACCCGTCTGTCCATTGTTGTATATCAAGTCCTTGCATCAAGGTAGCTACACGTATTGTTACTGATGTCTGTCTGGAGAATCCTCTTTGTAACCTTAGGTTGTCGTTTGAGGCACTGCTTCTTCTGTTTATTTCAAGTTCTTCAGCCCATTTAAGAATTGTTGTATGTTCTCCACAAGGCCTTAAATAAAACAACGTCGTTAAAGTGAAGGAATCTTGCACCATAGAGAATCAAATGTTGGCATACTGGTGATGATAATGCTCCATTTCGGACAGCTGTTTCCATGATGAAACATGACAGTGTCATGCATCAATCTGGTTTCAATAATTTTTAAAACTGAGTGTTCGGAAGGTGTTAGAATTCAGTGTTCCGAAGTCAACTAAAAAACACATCTACCTGTATATACTGGCATCAATACTTACCTGTTTCTGTTGTTACTGAGTGTTCCAAAGGTATCTAGAAAACATATCTGTAAACACTGGCATCACTACTTACCTGTTTCTGTTGTTACTGAGTGTTCCAAAGGTAACTAGCACACATATCTGTATACACTGACATCAATAATTACCCGTCCCCGTTGTTACAGAGTGCTCCAAGTGTATGTAGAAGACGTATCGGTGAGATCAGTATTTACCTTTCCCTTTCTTAGGGTTAGGGTTCACATACGCCAATCTCGTGGCACCTGGAGCTACCACCACCCCACCAGCAGCCATGTGAGGATTGGGATACCCTCTGTATGCAGCTACAACAGACAGATGGTGATTGGGTTATTCTTATAGGCTACAGGCATCATGTCAAATGCTATTCCCTATTTTCCTATTTAATGTGCACAGTTGACTTGCCGATGCATGTGTTTTTGACGGGAGCTACCGAGGAGGCAGGGTGCTTTCACCTTTTCGCGAACACCTGGTATCTTTACGATCTGATAGTGATTCATAAACACATGATCATTGTATGATCGGAGCTGTTGGAGGAGATTTCTTGCTAGTATCGAAATAAATTTGTTTAGTTACATGGCAGCGCCTTGTTTACCTTGCTATAATGTATAGCACATATATAGAAACCAAAAACATCAGTGCATGGACATGTCGACATTGCTTATGTAAATATCTGACATTGATAAAAACCTACATGTAACTATCTCACGGTCAATTAAACATATTCCAGTTGATCATTAGCAGAATCCCATAGACACAGTGGCATAACTCTTGCATGTATATATGTATTAAAAAACAAAACAAATTAAATCTTGAGCTGAGTATTTCATGTATACATCGTCTGAGGAGTACGTGAAGATCAGATATTTTCAGATTGATTGTGTTTGCTACTTACTTATACAACAGTGAATGATTTAAATACACCATTAATACATGTATGTATACATTAAGTAGAGAGAACAAGATCACATTGCATGGATCGATTGAAGAATACAAGCGAATGAACCGTAACCAGCTGAATGTTCGTGAACATTAATGTTCTCTGTGTGGCAAAGGATATTACCAGCACATGCACATGGCATAACCAGTGACCTGATCTTTAATGTCCATCAATCGACGGTGGTGTTTCAAATAGCCTAATTTATTACTTGCCCGTGAAGAGATCACCCGTTTAATAAACATACAGCTGTATTACACATTGTGTAATACCAAAACGCGTGCTTGTGTACTCTCGGAACACGGTTCACGAACAAATATTAAAAAGCTCTCAACATCGCTTGGCTTATTCAAAGACATTGCGTGTGGAGTTGATAGATCACTGAGAGGAGCTTATGCACACTCGATGACCCCAGCAACCTTGTTGCTAGGGTGACGTCACATGGCATTGTTTCGCAAAATTGGCAAAATTCCACAAATTACGTCATCGGGTATTGTGACGTTATTGTAAAGTTTGAGGTACAAGGCCCGTTCCACAAGGCGATCGTATTGTAGCGCAACGACAGTCGTTAGTATGTGAGTTGCGATAGTCTTAGCCCTACGATAATTTTGTGAATTCTAAAGGTGGACCGTTGTATGGTATTAAATTCATACCTTTCAACTTTTGACGTGTTTGAAGTATTATTCTGTTAAACTCAATTGGACTATGCCGTTGATTGTGTAGGTGTCAGCCTATTCATACTCAACAGTATAATTCTAAAACGTTGTAAATGGCAAGTAATAAATAAAATACTAAACTCGCTCCCGTGTAAAACCAATTTTATGAAACTCGCGAATAGTTGTGGTATCTGACGAGCGAAAGCGAGTCAGATACCAGAACTATTCACTCGTTTCATAAAATTGGTATTACACGGGAGCTCGTTTAGTATTCTATATATATGTTCACGTTAGAGTTTAGTTTACGCTATATATGATGGATTCTGACAAGGGCTACTTTCCTCCTGGTCTCACATCCTTATATGGTTAGCGTGACCTTGACCTTGACCTTGTTGGAAGTAACCCAGATACACATCGCTGGTTGACCCAATTAGATAGATCGTGCATACGAAGTGTTTCTGAAGTTTATCACAATGCCAAATTTATTTCACGAGAAGTGATCTTTTTCACGAACTCCTGCTCTCACCACTGGCCATCAGTGGTCCCTTGATATAATGTCCACAGCTGTTGATGACTGGTTTATCTCTTCCATTGGCAATTCATATTTCCACGTCAGCCAAAAGACCTTGCTCACATGGTCAAGAACATATTTATATTCAATGAAGAAAGACAAACACCGTAATGACAGCTCCAGGGTAAATTAAGAGCACTGGTGACCTGTACGTCCAAGACGCTACAATTCTATGAGTTTCGTAAATGTGCAAAACGGTTCACTCTCACAATACAACTGTTTCTGTTAATAATTATATTCATATTTTTGAGTCACAGACTGCAGTGTTTGGCTATTGTCAGGTGATGCATAACTCATGTTATCATCTGATGAATATATACACTCCGAAACGTTGTGTTCCTCATAATGAGTAAGTTGACATCCATCAATCCTTTTCCTTATGCGTATCACTTCCAAATGCCTTTCAAAGACTCGATGATGATTGTGTTAGTGATATAAGTCGTCATATCGTACATTGGTGATGAAATGCTCGGAACTAAAGATAATTAATATTTTTCTCATCATGTGATGTTTGCAGTATGTTATTTGTACTTGTGGCTTCTTACTGCAGATCATTATTTACCTTTCCGAATTTCTACAATACCTACCATTTTGTCTTTGTTCATTGCTTATTCTCTGCACCTGTAAGTATAAGAGCAAAATGACACGTTCCTGCACATTAGGGATAATGCACTTGAATATGCACGTGGAACCTAACTGCATCTTTAAAAGACTTTCAAACATTTTCAAGCATATGAAAGGTGCAGTCAAACATGTCTTACATGGATGACACAAGACAGTTGTTAGATATTCGGAGAACTGTTCGTGTTTGGAATATCCGAAGTAACAATATTTTTTCACTTATATTGTTAAGGAAATAATGTGGTTGTTCTTCAGTCATCACTCCAGCACAACCTGCTTCTCCCTGCTCGTCCGTGGTTTTACAAACCAATGATGTTTTATTACAAACACAATCGCCACACAACGCTTGCCATACCCGTTTAGTGTTAAATCTTTATCACAATCAGTATTAATATACGACTGCCATGAAGACGGCTCATCAATTCCATAGAAAACCTAACTTTACTTACCTCAGCCTGCATCTGTTCTCGTTCTCTTTGTTCCCCTGAAAAAGAAGAAGTTAAAGTTTAGAAATTGTATTTAACGTAAAATGATTGTATTTGTTATTATATAGCTCAGATATGGAACACTATCGCCATATCTGCTCAACTGAGCTTAAATTATTTCAATTTAAAATATCAAGTAAAAAGTGCTATGTAACATTAACAAACTGAAATAGAACTGTAAATGTCAAATTAAATAGTTGGGTCACGTTTGATGTCCTCATGTACTATCTACTCCACTGTTCTGCTTACTTTGCAGTTGTTCCTCCATGGCTGCCTGTCTTTCCTGCATGTGTCGTCGTGTTTCTTGTTCCTCCATGGCTGCCTGTTTTTCCTGCATGAGTCGTCGTGTTTCTTGTTCCTCAATGGCTGCCTGTTTTTCCTGCATGAGTCGTCGTGTTTCTTCCTCCCTCTCCGACTGCTCCTTCACTTCCTGTATCTGCCATGTAATGTTCTCAGTGTTAACGATGTTCTACTATGTGTTACTCTTGATTACTCCTTCACTTCCTGTATCTGCCATGTAATGTTCTCAGTGTTAACGATGTTCTACTATGTGTTACTCTTGATTACTCCTTCACTTCCTGTATCTGCCATGTAATGTTCTCAGTGTTAACGATGTTCTACTATGTGTTACTCTTGATTACTCCTTCACTTCTTGTATCTGCCATGTAATGTTCTCAGTGTTAACGATGTTCTACTATGTGTTACTCTTGATTACTCCTTCACTTCTTGTATCTGCCATGTAATGTTCTCAGTGTTAACGATGTTCTACTATGTGTTACTCTTGATTACTCCTTCACTTCCTGTATCTGCCATGTAATGTTCTCAGTGTTAACGATGTTCTACTATGTGTTACTCTTGATTACTCCTTCACTTCTTGTATCGGCCATGTAATGTTCTCAGTGTTAACGATGTTCTACTATGTGTTACTCTTGATTACTCCTTCACTTCTTGTATCTGCCATGTAATGTTCTCAGTGTTAACGATGTTCTACTATGTGTTACTCTTGATTACTCCTTCACTTCCTGTATCTGCCATGTAATGTTCTCAGTGTTAACGATGTTCTACTATGTGTTACTCTTGATTACTCCTTCACTTCTTGTATCTGCCATGTAATGTTCTCAGTGTTAACGATGTTCTACTATGTGTTACTCTTGATTACTCCTTCACTTCCTGTATCTGCCATGTAATGTTCTCAGTGTTAACGATGTTCTACTATGTGTTACTCTTGATTACTCCTTCACTTCTTGTATCTGCCATGTAATGTTCTCAGTGTTAACGATGTTCTACTATGTGTTACTCTTGATTACTCCTTCACTTCCTGTATCTGCCATGTAATGTTCTCAGTGTTAACGATGTTCTACTATGTGTTACTCTTGATTACTCCTTCACTTCCTGTATCTGCCATGTAATGTTCTCAGTGTTAACGATGTTCTACTATGTGTTACTCTTGATTACTCCTTCACTTCCTGTATCTGCCATGTAATGTTCTCAGTGTTAACGATGTTCTACTATGTGTTACTCTTGATTACTCCTTCACTTCTTGTATCTGCCATGTAATGTTCTCAGTGTTAACGATGTTCTACTATGTGTTACTCTTGATTACTCCTTCACTTCTTGTATCTGCCATGTAATGTTCTCAGTGTTAACGATGTTCTACTATGTGTTACTCTTGATTACTCCTTCACTTCCTGTATCTGCCATGTAATGTTCTCAGTGTTAACGATGTTCTACTATGTGTTACTCTTGATTACTCCTTCACTTCTTGTATCTGCCATGTAATGTTCTCAGTGTTAACGATGTTCTACTATGTGTTACTCTTGATTACTCCTTCACTTCCTGTATCTGCCATGTAATGTTCTCAGTGTTAACGATGTTCTACTATGTGTTACTCTTGATTACTCCTTCACTTCTTGTATCTGCCATGTAATGTTCTCAGTGTTAACGATGTTCTACTATGTGTTACTCTTGATTACTCCTTCACTTCCTGTATCTGCCATGTAATGTTCTCAGTGTTAACGATGTTCTACTATGTGTTACTCTTGATTACTCCTTCACTTCCTGTATCTGCCATGTAATGTTCTCAGTGTTAACGATGTTCTACTATGTGTTACTCTTGATTACTCCTTCACTTCCTGTATCTGCCATGTAATGGTTATAATGAGTTACAGGCTCTATGTGATGTTGTCATTAAGGACGATTTCAGTTTTTCTAAATTTAGATATAAGTTTTTAAAAATTAATAGGTATTGATCTAGTGCTGCAAACGTCCTAAAAAGGTTGTTTTGTACTGTGTTGCACCCTGTGCACGTCTCACTGTGTACTCCTCAGGCATACATGACAACATGGTTTTAACGAGATTTACTGACAATAGTAAACCTTTCTACCATATTTTAACCAGATATATATCAAGCCGTCATTAATAAGAACACCCTAGTATCTGTATGTTATTCATCTTCCCGAGGCAAGTGAGTTAACTGACTATAAAAGTCCAGTTTCCACCCTTGCCGAACTAGACTGGTATTATGGAGTTCTCAGTGTTAACGGTACTATAAGTCCCCATGGCCCCCAGTATGGTGGTATGCCTTCATTTGCTGACGTTCTATAGCCAGTTCTCAGTGTTAACGGTACTGTAAGTCCCCATGGTCCCCAGTATGGTGGTATGCCTTCAGTTGCTGACGTTCTATGGCCAGTTCTTAGTGTTAACGGTACTGTAAGTCCCCGTGGTCCCCAGTATGGTGGCATGCCTTCAGTTGCTGACGTTCTATGGCCAGTTCTTAGTGTTAACGGTACTGTAAGTCCCCATGGTCCCCAGTATGGTCGTATGCCTTCAGTTGCTGACGTTCTATAGCCAGTTCTTAGTGTTAACGGTACTGTAAGTCCCCGTGGTCCCCAGTATGGTGGCATGCCTTCAGTTGCTGACGTTCTATGGCCAGTTCTTAGTGTTAACGGTACTGTAAGTCCCCATGGTCCCCAGTATGGTGGCATGCCTTCAGTTGCTGACGTTCTATATCGAGTTCCCAGTATTAACAATGTTCTACTATGTTGTATTTGAAGATTGCTCTTTGCTCTACAAAAGACTGAAGGAAAAAGGGTATTTGCTGTGTTTTCTTCTTTCATATCTTTCAGATTGTTGCAGACAATGACACAAGAAGAATATAGAAACCCTAAGCTTTTAAGACAATACCTTTTTCTGCATTTCTTCTTTTTCAGTTTCTTCATCTGAAATGAAAGGAGCAATCACGAAGAAACTGTTGACGGTTGCTTTGAATTTGTTGTTGCTATGGAAATACATGGATTATCGTATACCGTGGTTTTCAAGTCGTACATATTGAAAGAGGCAGCCGGGTAACTAAGGTTGAGCGTTCGCTCGTCACGCCGGCTGCCAGGGTTCGATTCCCCGGGGGTCTTGGTTACAAAGTGTGAAGCCTATTCCGTGTGCTCCCTGACTTGGTACAGCACGGATATTGATGAAAGCGACGGAATACCTCAATCACTCACCAACATTCTGAAAATATGTTCAAATAAGTGAATGAAGTTTACGCTACAATTTGCAAATTCCACAACAGGTATGTGTTTCCCCAATGTTTTGTTTGGTTCACATTTGTGTACGATATTGTATACATATACTCCGTACCTGGCTCCTCAACAGAGTCTCCAGTTGCAGATCCTGCTTCATCCTTGTTGCAATCTGCATCATCACGCTTGACGCCTGAGGAATACATTTCATAAGAGTGAGTGAGTGAGTTTGGGTTAACGCCGCTTTTAACAGTATTACAGTTATATCACGGCGTGTCAGCTTGATGTGGGAGGAAAGTCCCAAGTGATGCAGGTTTTATACGTTTACCACTACGGTGAAACCCACGAGCACGGGTATGGTGCTGACAAACCTAGACACATAATCGGGGCGAACCGGGATTCGAACCCACAATCATAGGTTTCTGGCGTGCCCAAGGGACGCAACTCTGCACAGCGAATTGTGGCGCCCTAGACGATTGGGCCACCCGTGCCCCTACATTGCATAAGATATGACCAAATCTTTCGTGTTTATGTAGGTAAACCTAATGTGATTACTTTGCTTAGATCCGTTCCATAAAGGCAAAACATATATTGCAGTCAGTTCTTTAACTTGATAAGCAAACAATACTATTTCTGTTATCAGGCAGATTCCGGCTTAGAATTGGTTTTCAGCAACCCATATTTGAGATTCCAACTAACAGGATTGGGTGGGCAGGCTCCCTAGGTTGATGCGCGTCATCGATCCCAATTGCGTAGATCGATGTGTATGATGTCAATCACTGGATCGTCTGGTCGATTATTGAGAGACCGCCGCCATATAGACGGAATATTGCTGAGTCGGGCGTATAACAACAAACAAACCAAACCAACTGATGAGACAATCAGCGAACTGTAGTCCTAGTCTTGTTTGGTTTGTGGAAGGTTAGTCAATCAGGGAACTGTAGTCCTAGTCTTGTTTGGTTTATGGAAGGTTAGTCAATCAGGGAACTGTACATAGTCCTAGTCTTGTTTGGTTTATGGAAGGTTAGACAATCTGGGAACTGTAGTCCTAGTCTTGTTTGGTTTATGGAAGGTTAGTCAATCAGGGAACTGTAGTCCTAGTCTTGTTTGGTTTATGGAAGGTTAGTCAATAAGGGAACTGTAGTCCTAGTCTTGTTTAGTTTGTGGAAGGTTAGTCAATCACAGGACTGTAGTCCCAAGCTTGTTTGGTTGATGGAAGGTTAGTCAATCAGGGAACTGTAGTCCTAGTCTTGTTTGGTTTATGGAAGGTTAGTCAATCAGGGAACTGTAGTCCTAGTCTTGTTTGGTTTATGGAAGGTTAGTCAATCAGGGAACTGTAGTCCTAGTCTTGTTTGGTTTGTGGAAGGTTAGTCAATCAGGGAACTGTTGTCCTAGTCTTGTTTGGTTTATGGAAGGTTAGTCAATCAGGGAACTGTAGTCCTAGTCTTGTTTAGTTTGTGGAAGGTTAGTCAATCAGGGAACTGTAGTCCTAGTCTTGTTTGGTTTATGGAAGGTTAGTCAATCACGGGACTGTAGTCCTAGTCTTGTTTGGTTTGTGGAAGGTAAGTCAATCAGGGAACCGTAGTCCTAGTCTTGTTTAGTTTGTGGAAGGTTAGTCAATCAGGGAACTGTAGTCCTAGTCTTGTTTGGTTGATGGAAGGTTAGTCAATCAGGGAACTGTAGTCCTAGTCTTGTTTAGTTTGTGGAAGGTTAGTCAATCACAGGACTGTAGTCCCAAGCTTGTTTGGTTTGTGGAAGGTTAGTCAATCAGGGAACTGTACATAGTCCTAGTCTTGTTTGGTTTATGGAAGGTTAGTCAATAAGGGAACTGTAGTCCTAGTCTTGTTTAGTTTGTGGAAGGTTAGTCAATCACAGGACTGTAGTCCCAAGCTTGTTTGGTTTGTGGAAGGTTAGTCAATCAGGGAACTGTAGTCCTAGTCTTGCTTGGTTTGTTGAAGGTCAGTCAATCAGGGAACTGTAGTCCTAGTCTTGTTTAGTTTGTGGAAGGTTAGTCAATCACAGGACTGTAGTCCCAAGCTTGTTTGGTTTGTGGAAGGTTAGTCAATCAGGGAACTGTAGTCCTAGTCTTGTTTGGTTTATGGAAGGTTAGTCAATAAGGGAACTGTAGTCCTAGTCTTGTTTAGTTTGTGGAAGGTTAGTCAATCACAGGACTGTAGTCCCAAGCTTGTTTGGTTTGTGGAAGGTTAGTCAATCAGGGAACTGTAGTCCTAGTCTTGTTGGTTTGTTGAAGGTTAGTCAATAAGGGACCTGTAGTCCTAGTCTTGTTTGGTTTGTTGAAGGTTAGTCAATCAGGGAACTGTAGTCCTAGTCTTGTTTGGTTCATGGAAGGTCAGTCAATCAGGGAACTGTAGTCCTAGTCTTGTTTGGTTTGTTGAAGGTTAGTCAATAAGGGAACTGTAGTCCTAGTCTTGTTTGGTTTGTTGAAGGTTAGTCAATCAGGGAACTGTAGTCCTAGTCTTGTTTGGTTTATGGAAGGTTAGTCAATCAGGGAACTGTAGTCCTGGTCTTGTTTGGTTTATGGAAGGTTAGTCAATCAGGGAACTGTAGTCCTAGTCTTGTTTAGTTTGCGGAAGGTTAGTCAATCACAGGACTGTAGTCCTAGTCTTGTTTGGTTTATGGAAGGTCAGTCAATCAGGGAACTGTAGTCCTAGTCTTGTTTGGTTGATGGAAGGTTAGTCAACCAGGGAACTGTAGTCCTAGTCTTGTTTGGTTTGTGGAAGGTTAGTCAATCAGGGAACTGTAGTCCTAGTCTTGTTTGGTTTATGGAAGGTTAGTCAATCAGGGAACATTTGCCCTAGTCTTGTTTGGTTTGTGGAAGGTTAGTCAATCAGGGAACTGTAGTCCTGGTCTTGTTTGGTTTATGGAAGGTTAGTCAATCAGGGAACTGTAGTCCTGGTCTTGTTTGGTTTATGGAAGGTTAGTCAATCAGGGAACTGTAGTCCTAGTCTTGTTTAGTTTGTGGAAGGTTAGTCAATCACAGGACTGTAGTCCCAAGCTTGTTTGGTTTATGGAAGGTTAGTCAATCAGGGAACTGTAGTCCTAGTCTTGTTTGGTTTGTGGAAGGTTAGTCAATCAGGGAACTGTAGTCCTAGTCTTGTTTGGTTTGTGGAAGGTTAGTCAATCAGGGGACTGTAGTCCCAAGCTTGTTTGGTTTGTGGAAGGTTAGTCAATCCAATGCCATTTAATCATCTGCAATTAGTTGATAATACCATACATACAATATTTATACATTTACAATAAATATCAACATACGCCAGCCATATTGGTATATTTAATAGATTATATGTGGATTGTTTCAGTTACGTATGCCTCTCAGTGTCAAGCACACTATTCATGATGCAAGCAAATCATATGTTTACAGATGTATGTATATATAACCCTAAAACGTCTTCATAGATTCAGTATGCATGTTTACCTTTGTCTGTGGGGTCATCAGGTTTTCGGAGATCAATGATGCAGTCTTTGATGATCTGCACAGCGCCATCTTGCTGTTCGCCAGAATCGTCTCTCTGTCGGATGTTCAGGTCAAGGAACTGAAGGTTTCCGCCGAAGCCACCATCAGAGTAGATTTTAGAATTTTCGATGGTCTGTTCATTTTCCATGCCTCCGTGTACTTCCCCAACAACAGTAGCGTCCTTGACAACACCACCTGCAACTCCAGTGACTTCCTTCGTTTTGTCATCTGCATCGGTGAGATCTCCGTCAGGCAGGCCTCTGCCGCCTGTGATACAGATATCGCTGTCAATCACGGTCTGTTTATTGCGCATTCCGCCTTTTACCACGCCAACTACAGTCGAGTTGTCAACATCTCCCCCAGTGACGCCTGAAATGTGCTCCACTCCAACATCAGAGGAAGCAACATCTTCATCGAATGAAATAACCGTAACCTGCTTCATGTTGTCCTCTTCATCAACGCTGTCATCTCCGCCTGTGGCGCCTGTGATGTGAACATCATTGACAACGTTTGTCACGTGTTGCATGTTGTCCTCTTCATCATCTCCCGCAGTGACGCCTGAAACGTGCTCCACTCCAACATCAGAGGAAGCAACATCTTCATCAGATGAAATCCCCTTGACCTGCTTCTTGATGACCTCGCCTGTGGCGACTTTGATAAGTGTCACGTGTTGCATTGAAACTGTCCCCACTGTTTGCAAAAAGAACATATTTATTAATCGCCCACGCATGGCAGGAGTACTGAGGTAAGTAGCGTGTCCGTTGGACAGAGACAACAGTCAATATCGTTCCATGTCAAACCCGTGTCTTATTCAGTAGCGTAAATACATGTATTCAAATAACAGTTACTTTACAAATTGTTTCTACGTCCAACTCGCGGCAATCCATCAGCCTGTACACTAGAGTAACTGCACTTTCTAACCACAGCATATACGACGTCACGTTTGTGTAGAGTGTGCCTGTCCTGTCATAATGTTACGAAGTGCAGTCAGATGTACAAACAACGACAAAATGAAACGAGGTAACTATTCGAACATATTTCCGCCAAATCAAACTGTTTTAATTTGGGGTAAAAGGTTCCAAGCCGCAGAAGTCTACAAGCAAAGATATTGAAACGGTCCCTCCCTCTGACACTGCTTGGAGAGCTAAATACAAAGTGTTTATTCCTAATAAAGGATATTTACCATCCCCAAACACACAAGCGTGATAACCTCTTTATCATATAATGTCATTCTTTAATTCTGTGCTTCAAAATTGCTTTCCCTCTCACACAAACATTACCGAAACCGAATTTCCTGGAATGCGCGCATTAATATATAATACGTCATAGGGTAAGTGATGGGTCAGTCGGACAGTGACAGTAGCCAATATAGTTCCAACTGAAATCTGTTTCTTATACAGTTGCGAAGGAACATATAAGCAAAACAACTATTGTTTTTATTTGCCTTTCGCGGCAAACCATCGGTCTGTCCGCTAGAGTAACTGCCCTTTGTCAAAGGGAAGCTACTCTAATCCTAGTCTATGAGACGTCACGGCCACGGTCAGACGTTGTTGACAGTCGGTCTGTCCTGTCATAACGTTAAGAAGTGTAGTCAGATGTACACACAGCGACAAAACGAAACAAGGTAACAATTCAAACATATTTTGGTTCCAAATCCAACTATTTTAATTTGTGGAGAGGGTTTCAAGCCGCAGAGGTCTACAAGCACAGATATGGCTACTGATCCCGCTTGGCTAGGCCTCGTGCCCTCGCAAAATTGATTCGAAATTTATATCTCCAAAGTTGCCAAAACTTATAAAATGCCTTAGCTACGTCACAGTTAGACACTGATTTTCAGTATATTAGACTGATCTTTTGATAATGACAGCAATCATCCCTGTAGTTTATCAAGATTCCCAATGGTTAATCCTGACTCGATTGCCGAACGACAAGGGTGACACCATGTTTGTTTGTAAACAGTGAAAGTAGTCCCTACTTGACCTTTGATATTTGCATCTCTATCAGCATATATCCCCAATAGATCAATTTTATCCATTGGCTTTATCCTGCCGAGAAACCTACCCTTTGTATGAGAACTGTTGTCATTTGCTAACATGCGCTATCTCATTAACTTTACTGTTAGTTCAACTGAACACGACTTATTCGCTAAGCTTATCCAATACATCTGAACGGCAAATGTCTGCAATGTCCCTGAAGGCGTCTCACCCTCAAAGGCCACTCATAGCATGTGGTGATTCTCACAAGTTGGCAATGCTAATACAGTGCGGTAGAGAGTGTTTGCCATGCTGAAAACCCGGATTCGATTCCCTACATTCGTACAACGTGTGAAGCCCATTTTCCGGTGTCCCCTGTCGTAATATTGCTGGAATATTGCTCAAAGCGGCGTAAACCCATACTCACACATTCACCAACGAACGAACGTTTAGCGATAAACTGATTTTCTATATTGTTAAATTATGCCATCAATCTATAGTCGAATGAGTGCCATGTTAATTCCTATGAGAATGTTCCTCACATACAGATCGTACAGCAATGTTCATGTCTTTTGGTTTGTTTAAAAAAAAATGCATTTAGAAACATGTGGTTCGTTGTATGCAAGGACGTGGAAGTGAAGATTAATATGCGTAGTCTTTCACTGGTATTCGGTGGTCGTGGCTCTGAGTGATAAGCCGCATGTAGTGGGACCTTTACATTGAAATAAACCTCATGAAACGATGTTTGTGGAAACTAAGAAAGTAGTGCAAACGCACATCAATTTCTAATGTGAAGTGTAAACGATATACAGCCATTTTCAACCCTAACCCTAACCCTAACCCTAACCCTTTAATGTGAAGTGTAGACGATATACAGCCATATTCAACCCTAACCCTAACCCTAACCCTAACCCTAACCCTTTAATGTGAAGTGTAGACGATACACAGCCATATTCAACCCTAACCTTAACCCTAACCCTTCAATGTGAAGTGTAGACGATGTACAGCCATATTCAACCCTAACCCTAACCCTAACCCTTTAATGTGAAGTGTAGACGATATACAACCATATTCAACCCTAACCCTAACCCTAACCCTTTAATGTGAAGTGTAGACGATATACAGTCATATTCAACCCTAACCCTAACCCTAACCCTTTAATGTGAAGTGTAGACGATATACAGCCATATTCAACCCTAACACTAACCCTAACCCTTTAATGTGAGGTGTAGACGATATACAGTCATATTCAACCCTAACACTAACCCTTTAATGTGAAGTGTAGACGATATACAGACATATTCAACCCTGACCCTAACCCTAACCCTTTAATGTGAAGTGTAGACGATATACAGCCATATTCAACCCTAACACTAACCCTAACCCTTTAATGTGAGGTGTAGACGATATACAGTCATATTCAACCCTAACACTAACCCTTTAATGTGAAGTGTAGACGATATACAGACATATTCAACCCTGACCCTAACCCTAACCCTTTAATGTGAAGTGTAGACGATATACAGCCATATTCAACCCTAACCCTAACCCTAACCCTAACCCTCACCCTAAATCTTAGCCTTAGCTTAAACCTAAACCTAACCCTAATATACAGCCTTTCCAATGGGACGAGAGGCAAGTTACATGTCGAAAACCAACGTTCATAAGCGTTTGAATAACTTATTTATATACGTTTTGCACAAGCCTGTATTGTTTAAATGACGGAAACCGACTGCTTCCATATCTCTATGGAAACTCCTCGGAATCACCAAGTATGTAGAAATACAGACACATTGTTTAATCAGTAAAATAGTGTTTTGGTATACATTGGGAAACCTACCCTTGTGACGAAAACGAAGAAATGCAAACTGTAAACTCGATCCGTGTCCAGACAGTCCACAGCAATCAAAGCATTTACATGAATATTTACTTGACACATCTTTACTCACTCTTCACTGATCGGACAATTGTGCTATGATCTATTTCACTGCATGTCATGTTGTATATATTGACAACATGCCCCCTTACCCTGAATGTTAAGTCCCTAGTGCTGTGATCTATTTCACTGCATGTCATGTTGTATCTATTGACAACATGCCCCCTTACCCTGAATGTTAAGTCCCTAGTCCAGTGATCTATTTCACAGCATGTCATGTTGTATCTATTGATAACTTGCCCCCTTACCCTGAGTGTTAAGTCCCTAGTGCTGTGATCTATTTCACTGCATGTCATGTTGTATCTATTGACATCGTACTAATGACTAGTAAAGCAGAACGATGGAGGCGTTAATACAAGTACACTTCTGTGTTTATTCCTATGGACATTTATGCATAACAATTTTAATAGTCAAACACAGTGGGAACTCTCCGTGTGTACACACAGATGTGTAGTAAATGCGCCTGAGTAACTAGTCATGCATGTCAGAGGGATTCCGTCTGCCACACCTTCCAAAAGCCTGTTGCACAGACTTGATTGAGAGTGGTTCACACGGTCTACGTAAACCCCCCCCCCCCCCCCCCCCCCCCCCCTGTTGCACAGACTTGATTGAGAGTGGTTCACACGGTCTACGTAAACCCCCCCCCCCCCCCCCCCCCCCCCCCCCCCCTCCTTTCAACGTGGGTAACTAAGACTGACAAGTTACAGCTCACTGCACTTTACCCTTGCAACTGCACCCTTTGTGTACCACAGACTGGCGTCAGTGTGACCCAGCGGGGTATCCTGAATATAATATGCACCCAGTGGCGACAACATGTTTTGTTTGTTTGTTGTTTAACGCCGCACACAGCATTAGTCCAGCTATGTGACTGCGGTCTCTCAATAATCGAATTTGGTCCAGAGAGTCATGTGATTGAAATCATGAACATCGATCCACGCAATTGGGATCGATGGCATGTATCCACCAAATCAGCGATCCTGACCACCCGATCTACACCACGGGATTGAACCATGGACTTTGTAGCAGACGTTCTATCCACTTCACCACGGGATTGAACCTTGGACTTTGTAGCAGACGTTCTATCCACTACACCACGGGATTGAACCATGGACTTTGTAGCAGACGTTCTATTCACTTCACCACGGGATTGAACCATGGACTTTGTAGCAGACGTTCTATCCACTACACCGCGGGATTGAACCATGGACTTTGTAGCAGACGTTCTATCCACTACACCGCGGGACTGAACCATGGACTTTGTAGCAGACGTTCTATCCACTTCACCACGGGATTGAACCTTGGACTTTGCAGCAGACGTTCTATCGACTACACCGCGGGATTGAACCATGGACTTTGTAGCAGACGTTCTATCCACTACACCACGGGATTGAACCATGGACTTTGTAGCAGACGTTCTATCCACTTCACCACGGGATTGAACCTTGGACTTTGTAGCAGACGTTCTATCCACTACACCGCGGGATTGAACCATGGACTTTGTAGCAGACGTTCTATCGACTACACCGCGGGATTGAACCATGGACTTTGTAGCAGACGTTCTATCGACTACACCGCGGGATTGAACCATGGACTTTGTAGCAGACGTTCTATCGACTACACCACGGGATTGAACCATGGACTTTGTAGCAGACGTTCTATCCACTACACCACGGGATTGAACGCTGGACTTTGTAGCAGACGTTCTATCCACTACACCGTGGGATTGAAGCATGGACTTTGTAGCAGACGTTCTATCCACTACACCACTGGATTGAACCATG